TACTAGGTTTGCATAGACATATAGTGAATCTTTTATGAATAATAGACTTATAATACAACGACAGCTGGTTATGAGTAATTTCGTGTCTTGGGTTAATAATCGGGAATCGTAACTTGCATGATAGAAGATTAATTGGGTGAAGAATTATCGCATAGGGGGAAGATAAAATCCTAGATCCGTTTTATATTGATATTTTCTCGTGCTTAATTGCTTTCTTAATTAGTTTAATTTATTTAGTTAATTAATTTAACAACCCTGCGTAGGCTGGATAAAAATCATAATTGTTAGGATTTGGTACTTAGGATTAAATAATTTGCGTATTCCCGTGGGATCGACATCCGACTCTCACGAGTCTACTTTACTACTTGTTTGCGATACGTGCACTTGCGTGTGGGTATTTAGCAACCCAACAAGCAGTAAAGTGCAAATATATTAATTGGATGTATTGATTGCAATATACATAAATTTTTACGTACATAACAATATGTAATATACATAGATATATAATAACTTACTAATAAGGGTAGAATAGGTATCACAAATAAGTTAAGAAACATAAAACATTAATGCTTTTAAAGGTAGGGAGATGTATATAGAAAATAATATTGTAAATAAAAATTTATAACCTAGGGGCAGAGCTTTTCGCAAAACATACATCTCAACGAAGAAGGCTTTGAAGGGTGTCCGTCAGGAGCAAGTGTACTAACATTGTGCCTGTTTCAACATTATACAGTTTCTTCTATTAGGCCACAAAGAAGATCAGCATTTTGCAAGAAGTGCTTAATAGATATTGGGAGAAGTCGATCCGCCGTCTCAAGGGAAATTCTACACTGAGGGAGTCCAAGAGTACATACATATTGATGAACTACTATGAGTACAAGAAGTTTGAGTTGTGTTCAAGAATAGTGAATAACATAAGAGTTAATAAAATAAGTTTGAGTAGTGCTCACTAACCACCAAGGGTGAAGTTTTAGCTGAATACTGACAAATTATGGTGCGCGGGCGATGCACATGACTAAGTTCATGGGCATAATTGTCTATTTAAATCAAAATTCTCTAAACGATAATTAATCGTTGATTTTTTCCTGTGTTCTTGATTTTTCTTCTTTCTTTCCCTCAATTTCTTTTCTTCTTTGTAATGAAACAAATATATCTATTCTTGACCTGAACAACATGGAACAAATTTGGCTATTGTTCACCTCACATATCCTTAGACCTCAACAACAACCATTTCCCATGCTCTTTTATGACAAGTACTCTACATCTCAAATCTCATCTATTTATATATCAAATCCAATGATTTTTAGTCTCAATCCCTCAAAATTTGTTCTAGAAACTTGACGTAATCTTTCTCAACAACAACCTCTTCGACGTCAGTCCTCTACTATGTGTAATTAATTTATATGCTATGATAAAATTAAGGAAAAATTATAGCCAACCCCTGAGGTATGACCAAATTACGAAAACCCCCTCTTTTTGAGGTAATTAGAGTCACCCGCTCCTTTTAAATATTTTTACATAAAATTTATGTAATTCGGTTATTTACCGAACCAAATCGTACATTAAGTTCGGTAAACAGTATGAAATGTTGGCCTACCGAAATTTCGGTTCGATTTTACCGATTTAACATTCTTAAATTTACCTCTGGAGGAGTATTTTTGAAAGACAATACATAGTTGAGGGGGTGGCTATAATTACCCAAACAGAAGGGGGTTTTCTTAATTTGACCATAACTCAGGGGTGGTCGTAATTTGCCCTAAAATTAATGGTAACATCCTTTCAGTGTGGGAAACTTGGAATAAATGAAGTTTTGTTCCTTAATAATCAGCCCATGGGGTATATACTTGAAGGACTTGGGATGTGGAATGGTTTGCAGATTTTGAATTTGAGTTGGATTTTTCGATGGGTTATTTGCCTGATTATTTGTCTTGTTCGAGTAGGATTGAGGTTCTTAGCTTCGCGTACAAGCTGTTGGGGCCGAAGGAGTTGCTGGATTTAGTTTGTTCTTTGAGGTGGCTCTTGAAAATTGACGAAGGATGCATTTTGTTTTCTCTAATTTGAACAAGATTACAACAAATTGTTCTTCAAACACGAGTTATATTTTGTTTATGAGAATAAGAGAATGAATTGGGAGCGAGAGAAAGAAGAAGATGAGAAGAAATAGAGGATTTAAAGATTGATAATTTGAAAAGACAATTTTCCCCTTAAAATAGTCATGTGCAATGCAAAGGTTTTCAATTATGTTCAAATTGGTGGAAAATGAAGTATATATGGCAATCAGTTGCAAAATAACGAGTTCGGTTGCGAACGTCCAACTTTTATTTGTTAAGGTGGCAAAGCGAAAAAATGGCCCGAAGTACTTTAATATATAATTTACATTTATTTCATCCATGAAATCCTAACTTAATCAATAATGCACATTGACCCCAATTTTAAAAAAAAATATATCATATTAACTCACATTTTCACAACTTTTTGGAAGTTGTTTTTTCTCTCAAGAATTTGTTTTTTTCCGACCGCTGACAGACGTTGATTTTCCCCTCCTTATTTTTCTAATTATTTCCCGCCGTTGACCGGTCAACACAATAATATTATTGTAATCTTATTGTCTTACACAGTAATGTTGTTACTGTGTTCACAGTGACATTGATATTTTTAATTTTTATTTAGTAAGATTATTGCGTTAACAATGTGTTAACAATAATATTAACACGGTAAGGTTATTGTACTAGCAACAATATTATTGTGAACACATTAATAATAGTATTAACAAAGTTAGATTATTGTATGAAATAGTAATATTGCAATCTAATACAATAATATTACTAAATGACGGTCATTGTTGGTCAAATAGCTATAAATAAAATTGGAAAATTAAAAACTTCAATGACAGAGACCGACGGTGATAGTCAAAATTTCGATCAAAATTGTGTCAGGGGTCAAAATCTGTTTATTGGTGAAATTCAGGTTAAGTTGGAAATCATGAAATTTGGGTTAAATTATAGCTTTTCAAATGGTTTGGGGTAATTTTAGTGTATATGAGAGAGTCTTCCTTAGTACTCCTTCAGTTTTATTTTTCCCACATCAAGTGTCACTTTAGAGTTTCAATATAGCACAATTTATTTTTCTCCAACTCTACCCCAACATAAATGACATTAAAACAACAATAAAGAGAAATTGAAAAACTCAATGGGGATAATTTTGCTAAACAAGAAACTTTTTCTTCTAAAATCAATGTTGTTGTTGTTGTTGTTGTTGTTTTTAATAACTTTCTTAACTAGTCTGCATTGTCCTTAAACGGAGGAGGCAAATGAGTGTTCCATGAGTGGATATATTTGCAAACAAAAATAATAGAATGTTTATTTTTTTAACTAAGTGACATTGTTATATATTTTTTTTGCAAATTGCCCAATATTATAATAGTAAAAAATTCATGAAAACATAAATCGTATATTTTTCGAAATGCAAAAAAAAAAACCCGAGTAATTTTGTGTTTTCACTACCAATCAACGGGTAAATAGTTAATGGTTTGAGTTTGTTATGTGAAACATTTAATAGGGGGATTTTAGCTAGTTTTTTTATAACATGAACTTGTTTAAGGCTTATATATGGATAGTGTTTTCACTTTACTCCAGAATAATCGATAGATATCTGAAAGTCTTACGCGATGTCAAATTTCAAACTAAAATCCCAAATTAAAATTGTTAATCTGGATTTGACAACAATAGTCCACATATAGGAGATATGGGTATGGCGGCCCACAATCAAATGTTATGGGCGCTTGTATGTTGAATGCACTGTAAAGCTAGAGTTTGCATTATTGCTGAAACCAATAAGTTTCAGGAGAACTGGCAGCACATGAGTTCCTATAAGTAGTACAAGAGCCAAGGGTTGGGGCGAGTCCACCCTTGGGTAAGGGTGGACTCCAGCCCTCCCTCAATTAATATGTGTTTCCCTATATTAGAGCATCTTCAACCGGTTTACTTTTCCTTTTTTCCCCTTATTTTTTTAATTGGTCACAAAAAAATCCTAAAAAAAACAAGGGCGCTGCCCCCGAACCCTCGAAAATTTTAATTCATTATGTAACAAATTCCTGGCCAAGGTCACGAGTTCGATTTGCGGCTTTTTCGACACCAAATAGTTTTAAGGTTGCAGCTATATGCAAGACTAATTTCCACTTGTGCAAGGGCAAATTAAAATTTTTCATGTATAAATACTATAATACCCTTACTTGTTAAAAAAAATTAAAAATTCCAAATGTGCAAAACAAAAAACTCAAAAATACAAAAAAACATATCACAAAACTACAAGACCAACTCTCATCTTCTCCATCTTCGAAAACCCACAAAATCTTTCTCCTTCCTCCTCCATAAACCCACAAAACCTAAACATTCAAAATCATCAAAACTCAACAAATCCTACAAAGATGGCAAGTATGGAGTCAGAAGACATCAAAATAGAAGATTCTACGGTGGAAGAACCCAATAAAGTACGCATTTATGTATTTTTGTAGCTAGAATATCGATTTTGTCGATATTGGAGTACAAAATCGACACCTTAGTGTCGAAATTTAACTGTTAGCAAATTAGTCCAAATATACTAAATTTTGACATTAAGGTGTCGAATTTATGGACATATATTCAACACCTTAATGTCAAAATTTAGTTGTTTCATATTTTTATTAACTATCTATTTTCCAATTACTTTTTATTTCAATATTCATTTATTTTTATAGCAAAAGGCGATTGCTAAGACGCGGCTTATTGTCCAAATTCATCCAGAGTTTAAAAAATATGTACAAGACATCAAGAACGTCGCATCAAGAGCGGCGGTCGGCGGCGGAGCTTGGGCGTAGGTTAGGGTTTGGGGGGGAGGGGGGGGGGAGATTTAAGGGTATATTTGTTATTGCATCTTAATAAAATAGAATCTTATGTAATATTTCTTTAATTTGGTCTTGTACAAGTTGAATTAATATTGCATACGGCCGCAATCATAGTTTTAATTCTTTTGAAATATTACAAGTAATAGTTTAGTTATGATGTAAGAAAATGAGTTGGCTCGAATACAAAAGAAATTTCCCACCAAGAGAAGTGTGTGATAAAAGGGAAAAAAAAGGTTACTACTATTACTAGTACCTAGGCACATGAAAACGAGAGGGAAAAGGGGAAAAAAGAGAGATTATTGTTTGTGGAGATGCAATAAAGAGAGAGAGAGTATGCGTGGGTTGTCGTTTCCTTCCCAATACTCTCTCTCTCTAATTTCAATTTTTTCATCAAACATTTACATTACAACAAGGCCCCCATTACCTCTCCACTAACCTTTTCCATACCCCCTCTCTCTCTCTCCTCTTTCTCTCTCTACATATAAATCCCAAATAAATAACCTCTCTCTCTCTCTCCTCTTCACATATCCCATCCCCACCCCAGCTGTATGTGCGCTATACATACATACATATATTTACACGCACAACTCACAACTTCTCGAATTCACCGATCAATTAAGGTTTATATCATAATTTATTATTTTTTATTTTTTTTAATTCATCAATAATCTGATTTTTTTTTTTTGCAGGCCTAAAATAAAATCGGAGTTTGATTCAGAATTGAAAGGATAAAAGAGCAGTTATGGTGGAGGCGTCGTCGTCAATTTTGAATCCGGATACGAATCCCCACGCATCTCGCACCAAGCGGAGAAAAATCGGGCCGGGCTCAGCGGCCCGATCTCAGGCGGAGCCGCCGTGCCGAACCAGGTGGAGAACCGAAGCCGAGCAGCAGATCTACTCGTCGAAGCTCGTCGACGCGCTCTGCCACCTCCGCCGCGCCGATTCTTCCGGCGCCACCGTTCGCGACGCGGCGGACCGAGTCCTCGCCGTCTCCGCCAAGGGCAGAACACGCTGGAGCCGGGCCATAATGAGCCGCCGGCTCAGCCTCCGGCTTTCTCAGATCAAGAAGAAGCACAGGAGAGCCGCCGCTAGACCGGATTCCGGGTTGAAGAAGGCGGCGGCGGGTCGGAAGAAACTGCCGCCGCTGGAGAGGAAAGTGCGGGTGTTGAGCCGGCTGATTCCAGGCTGTCATAAGATATCGCTGCCGAATCTTCTGGAAGAAACGACTGATTATATTGCGGCTTTGGAAATGCAAGTCAAAGCTATGACTTTTATCACGGGACTCCTCAACGGCGGCGGCGGCGGCGGCGGCGGAGGTGGAGGTGGAGGCGGAGGCGGGTCGTTGAACAATAGCGACCAGTAATTAGTTCACGTTAGGGGGGTCTACTTTATTTTGGCGTTTACCAATTTTTAATTTCAAAATGCTTATTTATTGTGTGAATAATTGAGAAGGTTATTGATTAATTTATTCTTGTGGATATATATATTTTCTTGGCCAAATTACGAAAAAACCCCCTCTTATTTGGGTAATAACAGCCACCCTCTTTTTAAATATTTTTACACAAAATTTATGTAATTCAGTTATTTATCGAACCAAATCGTATATTCAGTTCGGTAAACAGTATGAAATGTTGGCGTATCGAAATTTTTGTTCGACTTTACCAATATAACTAATTACCAAACATTAGCGGGATTTTCATAATTTAACCATAATTCATGGGTGGCCGTAATTTGCTTATATTTCTTTTATCATTTTTCAATTTATTTTTAACATAATTTATTTATTTGTGCATCGATTTATATTGGTCAAATGAATTGAATCAACATGCCAACTAATATGATGGTATAATAATGTTGAGTCTATTCATTTGATTCCCATAAAGCTTTGTTCTTGCTTGTTTTTAAGCTCTTTTAGGTGGAATATTTGGTAAACAAATAGTTGAATGAATAACAAATACAAAATATTTTATTCATGTTGGGTATTCGTTTGATTTATACAGGTAAATAAATATGAAAGAAAAACATTAATACAGAGAATTAAATACACTTTACATCCATTCATTTATAAAATACCCCATGAAATATCAAAATCTTCAAAAAGAATATTGAAGTTAACATCACATTTGCATCCTTATGTAAAAGCTATGAATATACCTGATTTTGTCCTTGTAGCTTTTATTTAGCGATATTATTGTGATGTTAACTTCAAAGGTTTTTACAAGATTACAAAGTTGACAGGTAGAAAGTATATGTAACACTAATAGTAATATATTTTACAACATATATTTCACATGCATGCAGTGGTGAGTCTAGAAATTTGTTCCAGGGTGAGCTTAAATTTTCAGGGGTTCGGGGGCAACGACACTGAATTTTTTTAAGAATTTTTGTGATAAAATCAGAAAATAGGAAATGAAAAAAAAAGAAAAAAAAAACTAACTTTAGAGTTTTTTTTTTTTTTTTTTTTTTTTTTTGCACTTATTTGAATTTTGGGCGGGCTAATTAATAAAAATTGAGATTTTTTTTTTGCATTAATTTGGATTTTGAGTAGGCTAAGTAATAAAAAATGGGGATTCTTTTGCATTAATTTAAATTTTAGGTGGACTAATTAATAAAAATTGAGTGAACTATATAGATATATAGTATAATATAGGGGGAAATTGTAAATTGAGGGTGGGCTTGAGTCCACCCTTGCCTAAGGGTAGACTCCCCCTGCTTGCATGCCCTTTGCTACAAAACATTACTAAGATCCTTATGAGCAGACTGGGGCCTCATTTGCCTCATATTATTTTTTCATCTCAGAGTGGGTTTGTTCAGGGTCGGTTAATTAGTGAAAATATTTTATTGGCACAGGATATGGTCCACTCGATTTTGCCTCGTTGTCCGAATCAGAATCTCATTCTTAAGATAGGCATGGCGAAGGCCCATGATAGGGTTCAGTGGCAATTCTTATTTCAAGTGCTCGAGTTCATGATATTTCCGGTTGTTTCCGTTCATGGATTCGACGATGTGTTTCCTCGTGTCAGTTTCCTTACTGATCAGCATGTAATTAACGTGTTATTTTGTTTCGACTCGGGGTCTTAGAACACACTCTCACCGACTCTCTATGTGATTGCCGCTGATTACCTTTCAAGATGTCTCGAGTCCCTTTTACCGCCGTTGTTCGGGTATGCTTAATTCTACTAGAGATGGTAACCCCATTTCTCATTTGGGTTATGCGGATGTCGAATGATGTGATTACTGTTGGTACATGTTATACTTCTGGCCCGAAGAAGCTTAGAAATTATCATGATCAGTATTGTCGTACGTCGAGTCAATTGATTAGTGAAATAATGTCTAGCATTTTGTTGAATGTAGGTTTTACACTCAAATTATATTCTATAACGAGAAATTTCGTTAGATTTTATCGAGTATATGGTGCTCAATGACTTTTTTATGTGTTTCAGCAAGTTCGAAAATTGGACATTAGAAAGGCAAAACGGGTACTAATTGAAAAGACGTCCAATTGAGAAAAAAATGCAAACCCAGTCTCACATTTTGGGACGGTCATTCCAATATTGACCTGGAAACTAGGACGGCCGTCCAAGCCGGTGAAGGAAGAAAGCAACCCACGCATTTTGAGATGGTCGTCCGAGAATCTGTACTTAAATTCGGCGGGCCATCCGAGACCTCGAATCTGCACATAAAGAAAGTTTTAATTGCACAAGGAATCTCTTACCTTCTTGATCAAGTCTTGACCACTATATAAGAGCAGTCTTTCGGCACAATTTGGGGGACTGAAGCACGAAGTTTTAGAGCAACTAGCAACGTGCGAAGAACTAATATTCATGAAGACTCAAGCATAGTTTTTTTTTTTTATAAATTCTACTTTGTTTATCGTAGGAATTATGAGTAGTTAAGTTTTTATTTATAGGATTTTATTCGAACCCTGTATGGGATTTGTGAACCCTTTTTCCTGATGTATGCAATATGTAAATAATTCTTCTACTTGTTTTATTAAGTGCATGAGATTAGTCACTTTATGCGCTTATTGCTATTATTATATTTACATCAGAAGATTGGTTTAATAATTAGGACTGTGTCAGAAGAATATTCGAGTCAAATCGGCATGTGTTATCATAGGAATATAGTTAACACCTTCGTTAACCATAATTGAAATTTATGCTTAATACTTTATTTTTGTTTGAATCCCATACGAATATAGTAGTTCGGTCTTCAATAATAGAATCGTAATACACGTGGAGTGGGTTGTGATTAAATAGCATCATAGGTTAATATATGGAGTTAATAAGTTGCATACTTGAGGGGAATTGTGGAGTCAATAAACACACACGGGGAAGATAAAATCCTATGTTTGTTAAATTTGACAAATTTTCATGTTTACAGCTTGCTATGTAATTTGCTTTTGATAATCGAGTTTAGTTACAAGTAAGAATAAATCAAATCAAATTCGACTGTGTGGAGTGGGTACAAACATAATTGGGAGAGTCTAACACTTATATTAAATAGTTAAATATTCTTTGTGGAATCGATATTAGACCTTCTTGTTCACTATTGTTTGTACAATATGTGCACTTGCGTATAAGTATTTACTCCAACATATTGTCATGTTGAGTTTCGTTAAGGCCTCCCCTTTTTTCTCCCCGATGATATTCTTCTTCTACTTCTAAACCTTCAAAAGAGTTTGTGTGCACTTGCATAATCATCAGTTCCTGAGGTATGTTAGCAATATTTAAAGAATCAACGACTGCATCTCGATCCTTTAAATCTACATCTGGTTCAACATGGTAATTCAGTTTGTCCACATCTGAATCTTCGGCATTGATCACTAGCTACTCTAAGATTTCTTGCACATTGGACGGCGCGGAATCGACCCTCTTAGATTACGAATCAGATTCAAGATATGGCGTAGTCCACGTTCATCAAGAGTCTGGCGTATTTGGATGTCGTCGTTTGTCCGTTGCTCGTAAACGGTTTTTTTTTTTTTTTTTTTTTTTTTTCGGGCGGACTCTACCATCGATTTGCTCTTTACTCAGATTTTTTTTCGTGATCCCGAGCGGGATTTTGGCAGCAACCCGACTTTGACAGGAACCCGATGCTTTCTACATGAACCTATTGCGTGACTTAGAAGGCCACAGTTGTAACAAATGTGTGTTGCCCTCATGTTCGATCTTTTGCCACCAACCAAGTTCTTACGATGCTCAAACCCATAACTTCAAAAGTAAAGGGCTAGAGACATCTGCTTCTATACAGAATCTAGCATACATTGAGTATCTAAAAGCCAAAGTACGGTCATCTTAAAACCGTTCGAGGGGTACGGTCATCTTAAAACCGTTCTAGGGGTGCAAGTTGGAACGGAAATTCCAATTTCCGCCGGTTATTATCCGAAAAGTTTCGATGTTGGATCAACTTTTTTTCATTCCGACTTCTGAAATTCTTATTTTCGAATTTTTCCGAATATTTTGGATTGGAATATGGAATTATATTAAAAAAAAATTGGAATTTCTGATCCGATTTAATTTCCAAAATTAATTCTGAAAAGTTCTGATTTTTTTTTTCCGGAAAGTACACCTATAAATAATATATGGGACAATTATAGTTTTCACCCCTCAAATTTGTGCCGATATCACATTTGGTCCCTCAGTTTTCAATAATTTAACATTTTTTGTCATTTTCGTCAATTTACCGTTAGTTCGTCAGTTAAGGCAGTGATGGGCACATGCTTGATTCCGTTAGTACTAACAGAAAATTGACGGAACGGACTGAAAGTATTTAATTTCTAAATCATGAGGAAACAAATGTGTTTTTGTGAATATGGGGACCAAATGTGAAATTGGTGCAAACTTGAGGGATAAAAGCGTTGTTTTCCCAATAATATATAATTTTATATTATATGGAACTTATTTTAATTTTTCATTTTGTATTCTGAAACAGTGATTTGATTTAAGTTTTGTTTTAGAATTTTGACATATTGAATTGATGTTAAAAGTTTTATCGGATATTATGATGTGGTTTATTTTTATTTATTTTTTGAATTGAAATTTGATAGGTATTAATTTTAGTTTTATCGACGTGGATGTTCTTATTTTGGAAAATTATGGAATTTTCAGAAAATTCCCTCTAAGGTTTGATATTTGAAACTTGTGTGATTTCCGAAATTTTTCGAAATTCCGAAATTTCTGGGCCTTTTGGAATTATAATCAATTTTAGATTTCGAAAATTTTGGAATTGTAATTGAAAAACTGATACGTATGATTTGTTCCCTCGGTGAATTTGAGCTAGGCCCATGGAATTAAGTTTTACTACAAATCAACTCATCCTTTAACTTTCATTTCAAATAAACCCGCAAAAAAATCAATTTCCAAAATAACCCTAAATATTGAGATAAGCCCAACCCACCCCATCTCATTCCACCCGCCCACCAGGCCGATCTGACCCAATCCGGCTAGGTTTTTTTATTTTTTATTTTTTATTTTTATTTA